TTCAGATAGAGCCCTAATATCCAGAGTATACAAAGAACTCAAAAAATTAGACAATAAGAGAACAAACAACCCAATCAACAAATGGGCCAAGGACCTGAACAGACACTTCTCAGAGGAGGACATACAATCAATCAACAAGTACATGAAAAAATGCTCACCATCTCTAGCTGTCAGAGAAATGCAAATCAAAACCACCCTAAGATACCATCTCACTCCAGTTAGATTGGCAGCCATTATGAAGTCAAACAACAACAAATGCTGGCGAGGATGTGGGGAAAAGGGTACACTTGTACATTGCTGGTGGGACTGCAAATTGGTGCAGCCAATTTGGAAAGCAGTATGGAGATTTCTTGGAAAGCTGGGAATGGAGCCACCATTTGACCCAGCTATTCCCCTTCTCGGTCTATTCCCTAAAGACCTAAAAAGAGCATGCTACAGGGACACTGCTACATCGATGTTCATAGCAGCACAGTTCACAATAGCAAGACTGTGGAACCAACCTAGATGCCCTTCAATGGATGAATGGATAAAAAAAATGTGGCATTTATACACAATGGAGTATTACTCTGCATTAAAAAATGACAAAATCATAGAATTTACAGGGAAATGGATGGCATTAGAGCAGATTATGCTAAGTGAAGCTAGCCAATCCCTAAAAAACAAATGCCAAATGTCTTCTTTGATATAAGGAGAGTAACTAAGAACAGAGTAGGGTCAAAGAGCATGAGAAGAAGATTAACATTAAACAGGGATGAGAGGTGGGAGGGAAAGGGAGAGAGAAGGGGAAATGCATGGAAATGGAAGGAGACCCTCAGAGTTATACAAAAGTACATACAAGAGGAAGTGAGGGGAAGGGGAAAAATAATATAAGGGGGACAAACGAATGTCAGTAGAGGGAGCAGAGAGAGAAGAGGGGAGGGGAAGGGAGGGGAGGGGAGGGGAGGGGAGGGGAGGGGGGATAGTAGAGGATAGGAAAGGCAGCAGAATACAACAGACACTAGTATGGCAATATGTAAATCAATGGATGTGTAACTGATGTGATTCTGCAATCTGTACATGGGGTAAAAATGGGAGCTCATAACCCACTTGAATCAAATTGTGAAATATGATATATCAAGAACTATGTAATGTTTTGAGCAGCCAACAATAAAAAATTAAAAAAAAAAAGAAATATTGTTGAATTTGCTAACATTTTTAGAATTTCACATTGATATCTGTGAGAAATATTGATTTAAGTGTAGTGTTCTTGTTATGACCTTGTCTAGATTTGGTGTTAAACTAATTTTTGGAAGTTATGTAGAAATGGCATTATTTCTTCCTGAAATGTTGAAAGAGCTCAACAGTGAAGCTATTTAGGTAGGCCTAGAATTTTCCTGGTCCAAGGTTACTAATCTCTATTTCTTTAGTTGACAAATACAGTATTAATTAGATTATTTTTTCTTGAGTGAACTTTGATAATTTGTGTCTTAAGGAATTTGTCCATTTCTCAAAGTTTTTGAATGTATTGACATAAAGTTGTTCATCATATTTCATTACTCAGGTAATATTCATAGACTACATAGTAATAAAACTTTTCTTATTCCCACTATTGATAAGTAAATTTTCTTTGTAATCAGTCCCACTTGAGATCAATTTTGTTGTGTTGTTCTTCTCAAAGATCATGATTTCAGTGATAATTTTGTTCCTATTTTCTGTTTCACTGATTTCCAATTGGATATTATTTTAATCTATGTACTTAAGTTCTTGATTTTTCAGTTTCTTAAAGTGGAAACTGAGGTCACTGCTTTGAGATCTCCTTTTATTAAGTAGGCCTTTTAGTGCTATAAATTTGCCCCATGTTTAAATACTCAAGTTATTTTTTTTATTATTGTGCTTTGATGTTCACCAATATTTTTTCTGCCATGTTTAATCTGCTGTTAATGCCATTTGCCATATTTTTCCTCTCAAATACTGGTTTCTCATTTCCAGAAGTTTGACATTGGTCTTTTGTATCGTCCATGTTTCTAAGTTTTAAAAATATCTAGACAGTTATAAATACATGTTTTAACATTCTTCTGTGCTGATTCTAACATCTATGTCTATGATGAATATCGGTGAATGTCCTCATGTGAGTCATGTTTTTCTATCTCCTTGCAGACTTGGTAATCTAACTGGATCAGAGATCTTGAGATTTTTTACCTTGTTGGGTACTGGATATTTTTGCTTTCCTCTTAAGTTTTCTTCTGCTTCCCTCTGGTATATTAGGAGTAATTTTGAGTCTTTTGGGTCTTGCTTTTTATGATTTATTAGGCAGATCTGGAACACTGGATGAATAATGGCTACTCAAAGATATCAGGTTCTAATCCCTAGAAACCAGAAGTGTTACCTTGTACAGAAAAAGGGTCTGTACAGATATGATAAAGTCTTGTCCTGGGGAATTTATCCTTGATTATCTGGATGGGTTGCAAATCCAATTACAAGTATCATTTTAAGAGGGAAACACAGAGAAAACTGTGACACACACAGAAAAAAGAAGGCAGAGTGAATAGAAGCAGAGATTGGAAAGATGTGGCCATAAATCAAGGAACAGCCGTAGCTAATAGAAGCTATAAGAAGCCAGGGATGGATTTTCCTCTAGAGGCTCTGGAGGTAGTAAGGCCCTGCCAGCACCTTGACTTTGGCTCAGAGAAATTGACCGTACTTCTGGCCAGACTTGTGAGTAAATAAATTTCCACTGTTTTTGGCTACTAAGTTTGTGGCAATTTGTTAATAAGCACTCAGGAAAATAACATACCCATGTAAGTTTTTCCAGTCTGGCTATTGGTAATAAGCCCTGTTCCTGGACCTGGGATCAGGCATGGTTTCTGCTAATCCTTTATTCCTTTCAGGTGGTTTTTTCCAGGTCAGAGAATTCAGTCACATGTACAGTGACTGAACAGTACTCTACTGAATACTCCTGGAGGACTCCAAAGCACTCCCTGAAGATCTCCAGGGTTCTCTCTGTCTTCAGCTCTTTCCACTCTAACTTATTTGGTATTCCCAAACTCTTAGTTCTGCCTCCTTAAATTGGGAAGTCTGTCAGGCTTTGCCTCAATACCTTTTCTCCATGCCATGTCCCAGAAACTCCATGAAGGCACTAACACAAAGGGATACTACCTTTGTTTCCTGTCTTTCAGGAACTGTTTTTCTTCCTTGCCAGATGTCTAGGATGTTGAAAACTATCATTTCATGAATTGTGTCAGGCAAGATTGTTTCAGTAAGGCTGTTTACTCTCTCTAGGCAGGAAACTCCATTAATATTGGCAAACATCTGCATTTATTTTTATGCTTTTTGGGTAAAGTAAAACGAATGTACAATATAAAAGGACATTCAGGAAACCAATAAATAGTGTTTATAAAATTCATAGAAGTTTTCATTTAACAAGTCTTATTGAAAATTCAGAAGTAGGGCTGGGGATGTGGCTCAAGCGGTAGCACGCTCGCCTGGCATGCGTGCGGCCCGGGTTCGATCCTCAGCACCACATACAAACAAGGATGTTGTGTCCACTGAAAACTAAAAAAATAAATAAATATTTAAAAAAAAAAAAAAAAAAAAAAGAAAATTCAGAAGTAAATAAAATGTTAATATTATCCAAAAATTCTATTGTAAATTCCTTGAAGAGAGTCCTAAAATAATTTCCTTAAACACATAAGTTTACTATGGCTGCTACTAACTTTCATTAAAAACAAACAAACAAACAAACAAAAAACTGACTAAAAGAGAAAATAAATTATCTCAGAAAAGTAATAAGTTTAGAATTTTGTATAGTTCATACCACAACTCAGATTGAAATGAATTGAGAATGTACTCAATTGTTTGTATTACTTCTTAATACAATAATGTTTTACTGGTGAAAGAAAACACTAAAAGGAAAATCTTGAGTGTTTACCCTTCTCATTAAAAGCAAAATTTTACTTCAAAGCTTAGGAATCTTTGAAAAACAACTTCTACCCAATGTAAATGGGAATTTAAATCTAAAATGTAAGCTATAATTTTCTTTTACTCTCAAGGTTTACAATAATATCATTCAGTATAAAGTTCTCAATAAGCAAAACATACTGAAAAAAAAAAACATCATATAACATTTATTAAGCACACTCTATACCAGGCTGTATGATAAGTATTTTATGTGTATTATCTCCTATAATCCATACCTACTGTCTTGGATACATATTATTTTTATCCTAATTTTAAAGATGAAGCTCAAAGACATTAAATACATATTTTAAATCATATAACTTATTTAATATTCAAGGGTGAACTTGAATTCAGTCATATTCTAAAAATAGTAAGTAGCAAACTCAAATTTCCTTTTGAGTAAAATTCAGCTAATTACAAAGGCATTTATATAAAGTCCTATTAGATAGTAGTTTCCCCTAAATTTCAAATATCAAGAAATATTTTAACTCAATATTTCAAGACTTTTGTTTTAGAACATGGAACTATAATAATTATTTCTAATACATATGCAAGCTAACAAGGTACACTGATACTAAAAAAACCCCCCAAAACAGTTTCTTATTTAATGCATTTGTTCACAGCCTCTCATAAAGAGATCAGTGAAATCACTCAGAGAAAAACGGATACTTTTCTTTTAGGTATAAATATCCTTCTGTATACAGAATATATAAAAAGGAATCACACAATTTGCCCTAAAATATATAATTATTTTCACACTGAACTACTTGTTTAAAAAGGATATATGTGCATGTGGGCAATGGGTATAAAATATATATAGTTTTTCATATTTCTTTTCTATCCCTGAAAAGATAAATATGGATCAATAAGATGAATTCTCTGTATAAAGATGCTTTTATCATAGGTGTTTCAAAGTAGTGCTCTGAAAGTCTAATAAAAAGGTTTTGAACTTTCTCAAGTAGGCTCATTTGTACACTCCCATGAGAGAAAGGAACAGACAGCATAAGGGCCTTTACAGAATAATTTACCTCTGAAGAAATCACAGTAAAATTTTTATTATTTACCTGAAGATTTTCACAGGTCTCTTGACTATATGTAAGTCTCTGAATTTCTGTAGGTGAAACAAGATATAATGCTTGTCCATTGTTGGTGAAGCAAAATGTTCTGGCTATCCGCATATTGGTGAGAGGCAAGTAATACACATCCAACAGAGGCCTTAAACTTGGCAAACTTGAAAAAATTAAAAACTTATTAACAATAAATACGGCAGGTTTTAAGTCGTGAAAAGAGCAATACAGAAGTTAAAAATGGCAGGGACTTGTAAAATCTTACGATTTAGTTTATAACCCTTAGTGGGAATAAAGAATGATCTGTTTTCCTCCTATACTTGGTTCACTATTAACCGAAAGAAAATAGTGACAGTGTATGAGACTATAAATAAAAAAGCATTTCTTTTAAACTAAATATAATTCTGAAACATGATTTGGGGAAAGAAATACTGTATGTGTCTTTAAAAACTCTTTCTTACCTGAAAGTCATAATATGGCCATTAGCACAGAAACATGCAAGGCAGATGCTGTTATTCAATGCTACAATATCTCCACGAAGCACAAAGGAGGTTTCTGTAATGTTTTGCTTATAAGCACAGTTCTGGGTTGGCAGTGAGATTACTTTTGCTTGCTTTTCAGAACATATCACTGCATATTGGTTTTCACTAATTTCCTGAGAAGAGGAGGGAGATACTGAGACAGGTCGCCGTTTTTTCAATTTTTCTTTTTCATCCTTTTCTTCAGGAACATTATGTTCTTTCCAGGGTTCATATGCAGGTGGCAATAAGCAGCCTGTGGTATCCAGAAATGCCATTCGCAGGACTGCACCTTTAAGTCTCAATATAGTACCTAAAATTAATAAGTTTAGTAAATAATTGAAATATTTTATTAAATATGCTTATTCTAACTCTGACACCAAGTAGACATTCAAGAGTATGCTGAATGAATGTTACATTAAAATTATGCACTGGGTCACTGATAGGATACAAATTTCAAGCATTATATTTATGCTTGAACTTGTTAGTTTGGAAAAAGATATCAATACTACATATCCCAGATAGATAAATGCTGCTGATAATTTACAATTAAACATGATAGACTTTGTAAACATATGTCTAACCTATAGATTAATAAACAATGGTATGCTGAGTATCTGGAACTATGGTCTCCTTTTTATACTCAGGTAAGTGCACTACCAATGCATATGAGAACATATTGATAGCATATGGCTTCTAGAGCTACGTTGTCAGTATGGCAGCTACTAGCCACATATGGCTTCAGAACACTGGAACTATCGAAACTGTGGTAGATAATTGTGCTGTGCAATGAGAATAAAACAGATGCTAGACACGACGACTTTAGTACCAAAAGAAAAAAAATAGAAAATATTTCAATAATTTAAAAATATAGATTATATGCTGAAATGATGGTATTTTTGATACACTGGGCTTTATAAATGTTACTAAAATTAATTTTACCTGTTTTTTTAGTTTTTTTTAAAGTGGCTACTAGAAAATTTAAAAGTATACATGTGGTTTCCCTTTCATTTCTAATAATAATGAAAATGATTATTCCATATATTTCTAAACATTATATATAAATCATAATACCTTTTTAAGTTATTCACCAGTAAGTATCAGATACATTCAAAGTTTTATTTTTGTCAGTTTATAGTCTTGATTTTGGGGTTACACTGACTGATTTGCTTTAATTAGTGGCATCCTCCTGAAAAATGTACACATGTGCTTTATGCTCATTTCTAAGTACATTAAATGAACATAAAAGTCCAATAGATGGAGGATGTAGAACTGATTTAATTTTTCTAACTTTTAAAAAATGATTTTCATATATCATTACTTTATATTAACATAATATTTTCTAGTCTGCAAAATTTTTTCCCATATATTATTTTCTACCAATTTTAAGAGAAAGAGACTAAGAATAAAAGAAAATGAGAGGTTCTCTCAAATTTTTTCTTAGGAGAAAATATATTTTTTCTTTCTTTTTTTTTTTACAAATATATGTTTGCTCTACAGTAGGGCTGCCAGCAGGAAGTTAAACTTGAATTTCAGATAAATAAAAACTTTAATAAAGTATGTTCCTAATACTAGGTATCTTTCTAAATACAGGATGTACTTATATTAAAAAGGTATTTGTTTTTGGAATTAAAATTTGGGCATTCTATATTTTTATTTGCTATATCTAGTAAATACAGCTTCCAGTCTAGGTTTGATAAGTAGATAATTTAGCTGGTTATTTTAAATAGGTTGGTAGAAAAATATGAGAAACAGCAGTTATACTCTTATAGCTTTAATCACTATTACCTAAAAGCATATTCTAAAGCTAACTCCCCACCCCCACAAGACCTCTTATTTTACTCTTGTTCACCCCAAGAGTTCTTCCAGCTTTAAAGCCTTAATGAGGTTAGGTGAATTATCCATGTTAATTTGGGAGCTGTTTTTAGCACACACATGGTTCTAGTACGTAGATCTTCCAGAAATGGCCCTAAATAACATTTGAATGGTCCTATAGTTGGTGAGAGTTTAGCACATTTCACAGCAGAGTAATGGACTTTCCTCTTAAAGAAAAGAAAAAAAAGGGGCAAAGTAGATAATTTAGATTCATAATCACGGAAACCCATCTGCTTAAAAAATAGCTCTTTCACAGTTCTAATACAGATGATATAAGCATCACTAATATATTTTGAAAACGGCATCACTAAAAATAAAGCAAAAGGGAAGTAATGGAGAATGAATGGGAGCAAATTATGTTATGTTCATACAGAAATATGTGACAACCAACCCCACTATTATGTATAATTATAACACACTAATAAAAACATAAAAAATATAAAAAAAGAAACTTTTAGTTTTATTTTTGCAAATGCATATTATTTTGTATCAAAGAAACTTTATAAATAATTTGATTTTATTGCAATTCGGGGAATATTTTGAATACTTTTGTGTAGTTAATAGTAAATGATCTATGTTGAATCCTTCTCCTTCATTTTTGCTTACTGGAAACAGAAACAGATATATGTTTGTTGTAGAAAATTTATTAACTACAAATTAGTAAAAAGAGAAAAGTAAAAATTATCCTAAGTTCGATGAACCAGTTAATTCCTGTCAACATTTTGATTTCCATCTTTCAAGACTTTTTTGTTCTTACATAAATATTTGTCATTTACTAGTGATTAGTAGAAATGCCAATATTATCTAAACTGTTTTCTTCAATCTACAAGTATGTGTACATTATATATTCAAATATTTATTGAATAAATAAATCAAATTACTTATTCAGTGTAAATACAGTTTGGATGAAGATTAAAATAATAATTACATTTTAATTCTAAATTCCAAGAACTATAAAATCTGCTATAGAAATGAGATACATAAACCAGCAAGTCATGGTAGTCTCTATTAGGGTGATCATTAAATGAATAGAGAAACCAGATTTCTCAGTTATTTCTAGATATAATAAACTATAGACATATTTGATAAAACCCAAAACTAATTTTTAATATACAAAGATCAATTTTTTTAAAAAAAAGTCTGTTATTAAGTCACTTTTTCCTAATTCTTTGAAGAATATTTTTCTAATTTGTAGCTACTTTCCCTGTGGCCAGTCCCACACCTGTCTCAACTCCTGTCCTCGCTTCTCTTGGAAATACACTTCTATGTTTACTGGACTTTCTTCCCATTGTGTCTCACTATGTAAAATCAAATGACATCATTAAACAAACCACTACATTCTTCTCATGACACTCCTATTAATGGTACTCCTGTTCTCCTAAGCAGAAGCACTTAAAATAAGCCATAGTTCAGATTTCATGTTTAGAGATTAAAAACAGCCAAGTTCAGTTTTCTTCTCCAAATACATAGTACCTTTTGCCTGTAGAATAAAATTTTAAGGCTTTAGGAATATCTTACTGTAATGACAATTTTTTTTTCATTTTATTATGTACTTAATACATGGCTGTAGAATTTTAAAAAATGTAGAACAGCTATATAATGGTATTTGAAATCTTGTTCCATTGGTATTTGAAATCTTGTTCCATGTATTCCTTCATTAAAAACATAAAACTATCACTCTCCTCATTTACTTTACATTTTAGAATTCTTAGACCAATTCAATAAGGTAGGGCAAAAGCTCTAATTAAATCATAGCAAATCATACTTATACTATAATTCTAAGTGCAGCTTAAAAACATACATACCACTTGGAGAAACAATCACGGGCTGAAGAAGTCTTTGCTCTGCTCCTGGGGGAAGGTTCAGTGCAATGACAAGCACTGTTCCTAGTGTTGTTCCAACCCACAGACTTGGGGAAGGGGACGAGTCCGCCTTTCGAGTAAAAGTTTCACAGAAATGAAGAGCAGAGATTGCTTCTCGGGATTCTTTGTCTATGCTTGTGACACTTGAACTCCGTGATCTGCTGAAGGAATTATCTTTTACATCTGAAATGATTTAAAATATTGTTGCGATTGCTTATTATAAAATATCACACTTTTCTGTTATAAATTTGGTCAAATAGTTAAACCTTCAAAAAACCAAAACTATGGCATATTTACTATTATTTCCTTTAAACCAAAAGGAAAATAATTTACTTTTTATGTTTGTAAAATTTCCCTTTTGTGTAAATGTAAAATATAAATAAGTAAATCCACAGTTTTCAGAACTGAGCTGGGTGAATCCCAGTGAATTTCTGAATGTGATGTCTGGCACGCTGGTTGCTTTTATAAGCTTAGTTCTTACCCCCTTCTGTTCTCAAGATGCTGTTTCTTCCTTTGTTAACAATTCATGATTTGGTAGAACCAGAAAAGTGAAGGTCTTTTCAATTTTCTAGATATTAGAAAAATATATTTAGAAGTACCCTGAGGTGAGCCTATTATGTTTTTTTAGTCTCACCATATGAGTGCTTTTAATAAATAAAAATTTAGCTTCCATTTTTCTTGAAAGCCATATAAACTGTAATCAACATTCATCTAAGGCATTTTTCTTCAAAATGCATAACTGATATCTGAAATATACTTAATATCAGGCATATTCCTTTTACTTAGTTTTATCTGTAATGACAGGAATATTTGAAAATTATACAAATAAATCTTCCCTCAATTTCAGTTCCTTTCTCTGTGGCCAATCTAAAGCCTACAATGAGATTCAATCTCACTCCACTCAGAATGGCGATTATCAAGAATATAAATAACAACAAATGTTGGTGAGGATGTGGGGAAAAAAGGCACACTCATACATTGCTGGTGGGATTATAAATTGGTGCAACAACTCTGGAAAGCTGTATGGAGATTTCTCAGAAAACTTGAAATGGAACCATCATTTGACCCAGTTATCCCACTCTGGGTATATACCCAAAGGACTTAAAATCAGCATATGATAGTGACAGCTACATCAATGTTTATAGTAGCTCAATTCATAATAGCTAAGCTTTGGAACCAACCTAGGTGCCCTTCAAAAGATGAATTGTTAAATAAAATGTGATGTGTACACACACACACACACACACACAATGAAATATTACTCAGCCATAAAGAAGAAAGAAATTATGGATTTTGCCAGTAAATGGATGAAACTGGAGACTATCATCCTAAGTCAAATAAGCCAGTCCCCCCCCAAAACAAGGGTACAATGTTCTCTCTGATTTGTGGCCCATTACACACAATAAGGGGGCAGAGAGAGGAAAGAATAGAAGTTCATTGGATTAGACAAAGGGGAATGAGGGAAGGGAGGGAGGATTGAAATAGGAAAGATAGTAGAATGAATCAGACATAACTTTCCAATGCTTTTATATGAATACACAACCAGTGTAACTCCACATCATGCACAACCACAAGAATGGGAAGTTATAATCCATGTATGTATAATATGTCAAAATGCATTCATGTATAGCTAAAAAGAAAACAACAACAAAAAGAACAAGTATTGCATCAAATCTGTCTGGCTTCCTGCTTTACCATATGATCTCTCTTTCCACACACACACTTCTACCATGATGCCATCTAACATGTTGTGATATAACCAGAAGGCCCACACCAGAGCCAAGAAGATACTGGTACCATGCTCTTGAATCTCTGAAACTTGAGCTAAATAAACCTCTTTATAAAATACCCAGCCTCAAGTATTTTGAAATACAAACATACAATTGATAAACTATCTAATGAAACAACTCTCCATAAATAAATAGCTCATTATCAAATGAGTTTGCCATATATTGATTCCAAATATTTATTTACTTATGATTTAGTATAATGATATAAATTTTGTTTATTTTCTAATGATAAATATATTTGTACTTAAATAAAGCATACACATAAAAGGTAACTAGATACATAGTTTTAGCTGTGACCTAGTGATAACAATGGAAAATAATGATACAAGAAAATCTGATAATATTAATTTCAATGTAAACTAATCTGTGAAAAAACTCTTACTGATATTTACTAAAATCACACAGGCAATTTACAAAACCTAAACTTTAAATGTTAACTCATAGGCCAAAGGAATAGTGTTTGAATTTAAAGGATTAATTTGACTACATAACATCATAAACTATAATTATACTTTTATTACATGAGTTATCTACACAATTAATTACCAAAGAAACTAAGGCTAAGTCAATATGAGAGGATGTAATGACTAGGAATAAGATTTACACCTGGTAGGTATCAGTTGGTTATTTAATTTTCTACCTAAAACTGTTCAAAAACACATCATAATTTTTAGTAGTTCATGAATTACAACTTCCACTTTCTCCTATTAAGTTAGGTATTGTGAGTCTGTGATTTCAATTTCAGCAATTGGGAAGCTAAACAAATAGAATAGCATGCTTAATTTTAATAATTTAAGTAAGCAGAACAGAAATGAAAAATGTTAAAATTAAGTACAGCTTAACATGTCAGTTACTGTCATAATACTTGAAAAGTATTATCATCACAATTTAACAAACAAGTAAAGCACACAGAAGTTAAATGGCTTGCCCATGATGACAAAGCTAGTAAATGGTTGAATCAGGATCTGTGCCCCTGTTCAAGTCTAAAATGTTCTATTAGACAACTATGCACAGTTTTATCACCAATATCATCTTAACTCAAAGGTTACAGTTATTTTTGAGCAGCTAAGTTCAGTCTTCAGATGCCAGAAAAGTACACAAATATGATCTTTCTGGCATATCTAAAATCAGATTAAATTTATCATTAATACCTCTATCCAGTTCTAGCTAATAGAAGTGATGTCACAAAATCTTTGCTTTCATGCTACCTCCCAGACACTGAGAACATTCTACTTGTATATATCACTGTCTCCTCCCAACAGAGAGCTGTATGCAACAAAAATTCATATTCCCGAATCAAAACAATGCCATATGCAATAAAGGCAAATAGAATATAATTATGTTTAATAAAAATTAACCTGAAATTGCACACTATTGTTTTAGTTTTTTTCTCTTTAATACAAAGTATGAGGGAATGAGGAAATACACTATCCAGATTAGCTTGAATTTGTACTATAATTGTGTTATAATTTGCAGAGTTTTCTGAAGACTGTTCCAAAAGATGCTTAATTCTCAAATAGCCATTATAAACTTTATTTCCATTGAAAAATCTCAATCATAGTTTTAAATCTTCTCTTCCCTTTTTCTATAATAGAGAGTTCAATTTCTTCAGATATTTATTTTACTTACCTAAATCAGGTTTCAGGTCAGTAGGTAAGCTTAACTTCCTTGACATCTTTGCTGAAAAATAAAATGCACTTTAAAAAATCTGAAAAATATTTGTTCTTTAATTAATGCCAACTGATTTTCAAGACAGAAGTGAATACTTTTGTTATTAAGTCTAGATGCTACAATAATTAAAATAAGATTAATAATATTAGGAGTGGAAAGTAAATCTTACTTTCAACTTTTAAAAGTTTGTACTTACTTGACATAATACATTTGTGTCCTTGAAAGTCTTACTTCAAGGAATCCTTTTAAATTTTAACATTCAGTTATTACTTAGGTTTATGGGAATAGGTCAGACTTTTCTAAGAGTAGAAAAGTCATTTCTCAGAAGGAAGATGTTGCAGATAAGGACAATAGAAGCATAAGACAAATCTTTGGTAACAGAAAATCTTTTCAGTTCCTCATCTTCACAGCTATTGAGCTCATTTTTTTTAAGTTAATTTCTGGAATATAGGACAATCAAATCAAAGTTTGATTATATCTTAAAATACGATTCAATATTACTTGATATAAATAAATACTTCCATTCATATTTCAGCGAAACCCCCCCCCCAAAAAAAAAACCCAAGTAATGTTATTAAATGTAAACTACAGGTATTTTTATGTAGTAAGATAAAAACTAAAAGTTAATGCATAAACTTACTGGAATTCACTTTCCATCCTCAAAATCAGTTATTATCTTAATCTGGGAAGGAGTTTAAAAGTTAGGAGTTGTCCAACATTATATCTATCATGTTAGTGGTAGTGCATGCGTAACAAAATAGTGCTCCCTATGTGAAATTTTGAAAAAGCATGTGTTTGTTAATACATGAATGCACATATTGGGTTAAACTTTGGACTGTTAGGAGATATTTAAAGCACAGACCCTGCTAGTCCATAAGGGCGCCATGTAAACAAAGAGAAATCCAGTCATAGTACATAACTTCCACATCTAAAAAAATGACAAATCCAATGTTAGGAAAGCGGCATTAGGCAGACTGGAAAGGAATGGGGTGGGGTGTGACATCACCTTTTTACTTCTAAATTTCATAATCTAGTTAGTATCCTTTAACAAACAACAATGGGTCAAACTTATTCATCAGTCATGCCATTTTCAACAACTTAGTACATTTCAGCTAAGAAAAGATGTAATATAAAGTTATAATAGCCAAATAAAATCTATGGTTAATTAATCTCACATCTTGACATACAATATAATTTAAAATATTTGATGTTATTTCAAATTGTATTTGATATACAATATAATTTTAAAGAGAAACACCCTACAACAGTTCTCAAAAAGGTAATATTGAACACTGAAAGAATTCAGAGGTTTCTATCAAATATAACAGGTCCAATATACATAGAGTGTTATTATCTATACAATGTGTAGGGCAGCTGAAGTAGAAAATCAATCTGGCACAAAGATTTTAGAATCAAATGATATGATGCCACCTGTGTAAACTGTTCTGAGCCTTTCAGAGTTGAATGTGCATATCCACCACTTAGGAATCTTCCTGATATGCACATTCTGATTCTGAACTTCTGGATTTGGGGTTGAGAGGCATTTCTATGGTTTGAGAGGCCAAGTTCCTAGACTATAAGCAACTTCAGGCTAGGAACCAAGACAAATTCCAGAAGTCCAGTAATGTACATACAGTGAGCCAAGAAAAACATTTCTTGTACAAGTTTTAATATCTATCTTATAAAAATGTGGAAGTGTGGTAGTTAGAACTGGGTTTGGAATCAGCTGGCTGAGTTCAAATCCAATTCAACCAATAACTAGGTCTGTAGCACTAGACCAATTACTTTGTTTCTCTAAACCTCGAATTTCCTCTTCTATAAAATGAGGATAGTGTGAGAATTATATGACATGATGTAAGCAACTGAACATAATATCTGGCACACAGAATGATTTAATAAATGTTAGTTATTATATATTATTAATAAAATGAGTATGGATTTTTCATAAACTGCAAAACACTATAAAAATAAGCTATTACTGTGCTTGCAAATAAACTAGTATCCCTTCATTTTAATTCTATGGTAATGCTCAAAGTAAAGATAACAAAAAAACGGGGGAAAAAAACCAAACCAAAACAAAACCTTTAGGACAAAAAGTACAGAATGAAATGTATCACTCTGAGTTCAACCTTTCAAATTTCAAAAACTAAATTTGATATATGGCTAAACATAGCCAAGTGATTTAACCTGGGTAATTTATGAGTAACAAGTTTATCCCTCTTTAAATATATTAGAATATGTTAAGTGAATATTTCACCATTAGAAATGTTTCTGTTGATGTTTTCATTAACCAGACAGATTCCTGACCAAAAAAAAAAATTCAAAAAAATTGAATTTTATAAGTATATACTTTTGACCTTTGTTAGGATTTCTACTAGAAACTTTACATGGATGCCTCCCAACAGATTAAAATTGTGCCTAGCAGTATACTTAATTTCTTTATTGTATAAACATACTGAATACAAATAATCATCTTTAAATAATAGGTGCTCTCATTTCAACATTTCACTTAGATACTGAGAAGTTAAAACCACACTAAGAGAATTTTAGAATATATTTTATTATGAATGTCACAAACAACTTTTAATCATGTAGCATATTCATTATTTCCTCCTGAAGTACTTTGCAATTACAGATCCACAACCCAGCCACTAACTCAAGCAGTGCTCAAATGACAGAAATTTAAGCCACATTACTATTTGGATATAAATTTAAGCAATTTCCCTGAATATAGAACTTGAAATGGTAAAAATACATTAGAGAATTCATCTTTGTTAGTCTGTGTTAATTCCAGCTATCAAGTAATAATTTAAAAATTGAATTGTTTTGATGAGTTGAGAACAATCTTTGTTATATCAAGATGTGGACTAAGACAGTCCCATTATTAATTCACTTATTCAATATTTATTGTTCCAGGAAAACAATGTGACAGAGGGTAGGGATATGCTTCTTCCTCACCAGGGGCTGAGTCAATTAGAAGAGACAACTTCAAAGGAGTATAGTAAGTACTACTCACTGAGGCAAGCACAAGGTACAGTGCATTAATCTTTTAATCTTAGCCTGAAACATTTATCTGAGACTGTGAGCTAGCTAGACTCTGATAGAATTAATGGTCAAAAAACAAACAAATAAACAAACAAGCAAAAAACACTTCACAGTATACACACTACTTTTACACTATGTTCAGATAGTCTATGCTAATGGTGAAAAAATGCACTCCGTTCTTTTGCATTAAAAAGATTCTTGTTGACAGTATTTTTCTAAACATTTTTTTTGTTGACAACATTTTTGTTTTGAGGTAAAATTTATATAAATTATGTATCTTAAAGTATGTTCACTGTTTTGACAATGTATATACCTGTATAATTCAAATTCTTAGGGCATGACCATCATCTCCAAAGTCATACATGGTGCTTCCCTCTTAATCCCTACTCTTGCCCTTCAAAATAAACACTTTTTCCCACCATAAATCAGTTCAGCTTGTTCTACAACACACATACACATACATATGAAGGAGTGTAGGTGAAAAATATGAAGCCAGAATGATTATTCCCTACCTCTGAATATAACTTCCCTATTTTGCATGGATGCCTTGAGGGATGAAGGAGATAAGGAAATAGGAGGAAGGAAGACATGAAGGAAGGGGAGACAGAATGGGAGGGAATTTAAATTCCTGGAGTTAAAACTTCTGCTATAAATGTGTTTGTAAAGGTTTTCCTTGAGTGATAAGGCATTTAACTAAATGCTTGCTAATTGACAGGCAGAACTGTGCAGTATCTAACACAGTCTTATTGTGAATGGATCTGCTGTAGTATTATCACCTACCCATATGTGATTTTTTAACTTAAACTGAATGTTCTTATTTTTCCTTCATCTCACAAGTACTTAGTGTGAAAAACCCCAGGCAGTAGCTGTAAGCTAGACATGGCATTATTAACATTAAAACTAGATTTTAAAAGATTTTATAAAAATAATTCTCATTATAAAGATTCTAGCAATGCAGAAGAACACACAAAATAACACCCAACATCCCAACGAGAAGAAAGAATCATCTGAATCAGCTGAGCAATCTTCTGATATCTGCCTCTGTATAGATACAGATGACCACTAATAAATATTTGAAGAAACAGCTTCATTTCTTTTACTAACTTGGAGTTTAATTTTCTTCTTATGATGAAGACTTAAGATCACTGGCTTAAATCAGTACTTTCCAAACACACATTTACATTTCCCAGAATCTGGTACACAGATTTCTAAAAATTCTCATCTGAACTGTTCCTGTTTTATCTGCCCTACAAATTCTAGTCACAACAGTAGCCTAGAATAGCCAATCTGCCTCCTTAGCTGGTCAAATTTCAACTCTACCTTGGCTCTATGCACCCTGTTCTGCAATAGCAGATGTTCTGTGCCAGACAGCTGGGAAGACTGTGGTGCTTACTTCTCTTTTTTTCTTAAGGATAATGTTCTAGAATGCCTGTTTTTCAATATTTGAAAATGACAGATTCATATATTTTGATCAGTTTTTGGCTGTTTTCTGTAGAAAAGCTTTTCTAAACTTAAGGACTAAATTGAACTTCAGGCTAAAAGTTTGCATCTTTCAATTTTTGTGACTTCTGGGGAATATACTTATTTTCAAGGCTGTTTGGTCAACCTTCCTGATAGCAAATCCATAAAAGATAGATCCTCTTCTGGTCAGCCTTCATGGCTCATTCCCACACTTGGGTATAATGTCATGATGAGGAAGTTGCAGACTTCATTCAGTTTTATGATGCTCAGGAACATATGCCAATCCAGTTACCCTGACAGCTGATTTCACTTCATTTGTCAAGAAACTTCTGTACATGCTTTGAAACTGCTCATGTTCCACTGCAACTTTCAAATTAAATGCTTAAGATTTAAATGAATTCTTAGAAGACAAGTTATCTGTTTTTCTTTCCTTCCACGGTATATTCTTCAACTCTCACCCCTGAACCTCAGTATCTTCCTTGCTTTGAAATTCTTTTTCACAG